CCCCCCCCCCCCGGCCTGACTGGGAAATGCTACCCGGTGCGTCTCCTGGAAACAGCTTCCTTCGGCTAGTTGTGTGCAGGCTGGATTTGGGTGGGAAGCAAAGGTGCAATGGAGAGTTGAGAGCAAAAAGAAGAAAAAGAAAGCTGGCGGGGGGGCAGGCAGGGAGGGAGAGAAACTAGTTGAACTACTTGTTTGGTTCTTTAAGAGAAAAAGCTGGTTAGGGGGATTTGGTTTTCTGCTATTGTTGATGGTGGGTTTTTTTTTTTTTTTGGTGGGGGTGGGGATGAAACCAAGGAGTGTTTGTGTTTTGTTGTATTTTTTGTTTTTGGAAAGGTATGGATTAAACGAATGGCTTTTTTTCCTTCTTGATTTAAGAAAATTCCTCAGTTGTAGAAGCTTTAAGATCTCAACAACATAAAAGGAATATTTATTTGGTTGGTGATTTTTTTTTCCTCTTCCAAGATTCAGGTTTTGTGAATTAATTCACAGGTTTTAAAACAAATTTAGCCGATGGTCAGATTGTTACGCACACACCCTACTGTGTGGGAACTAAAAAAAAAAACTTGACCCCAAAAATTAGCATCAGTTTTCTATTAGGGGTATTTTGTTTGGTTCTTACATATTATGGAGTTTCTGCATTAGGATAAAGTTGTGAAGTAGATGCTTTGGGAAGTCTGGCTCATTTTATTTTATTTTTTTAAAGAAATGTTATCAAGATACTGTTTTGAGTTAATGAATGGCTTCTTAGTATAGAGGAATAATATTTCCAGTTCATCTTTTTAAGTTTTTTTAAAAAGCACATTTTGTGAAAGAGGAAAAGTGCTATTATTGGAAAGTCAAAGAGGTTTTGGTGATTCTCTTAAGTTACTTTCTTTAATAGTTTCTGCAGAAACCAAACTAATTGTAGGCTGTGTCCTCAGTTCATTAAGAATGTATTAACTTGTACTACTTATTAAGTTTTATTTATTATATTTTATTTATACTACCAATTTTTTTTAAGTTTCCAAGTGTTTTTAAATGCTTTTGTAGTATTAGTTTTTGTTTTTTGTTTTTGCCAGTCGTGGGGCTTGAACTCTGGGCCTGGGCCCTGTCCCTCACCTCTTCAGCTCAAGACTAGCGCTCTACCACTAGAGCCAAAGCACCACTTCCCACTTTTTCTGCATACGTAGTGCTGAGGAATTGAACCCAGGGCCTCATGCATGTGAGGCAAGCACTCTACCACTGAGCCACCTTCTCAGCCTGTATTAGTTTTTTTTAAGTATTTCTACTCCTCTCTTAACTACTGATTTATTAAACACATGGGTTATTAGCACTATGATTAGCTTGAAGATGCTAACTGAAAATATAACGTAGAAATATCAATAGAAATCTTATTGTACTCTTCATTTTTGCAAAAATGTTAAACATCATGCTAAACATAATGGAGTTAAATATGTATTTAACTTTTTTCAAAAAATTTCTTAACAGCAGAAAAGATTTTGCACTGCTACAAAATTAAGTGAAATCCTCTCCCTTTTTATTTTTCAACTATTTGGTTAAATAATTCTCTCCCTTATTTGACTGTCACATTTTGGATTCCCAATCATATATCAAATAATGGAAACTGTCACACTCCATCTAACAATTGAAAGTTAGGGTGATAAAAAATATTTTTAATAATTTCTTTTTTCTTTTATTTTGGGTGGGGAGGGTCTGGTCGTGGGGTCTGAACTCTGGGCCTGGGCGCTGTCCCTCAGCTCTTCAGCTCAAGGCTAGTGCTTTACCACTTGAGCTATGACGCCACTTCTGGCTTTTTTCTTTTTTCTTATGTGGTGCTAAGGAATCGAACCCAGGGCCTCAGGCATGCAAGGCAAGCGCTCTACCACTGAGCCACCTTCCCAGCCCCAATAATATTTTTTCTTGGTAGACAATTTCCTTCAATGGATTTTTTTTTTTTTTTTGTGGAGTTTGAACTCTGGGCAGGGGCGCTGCCCCTCAGCTCTTCAACTCAAGTGTAGTGCTCTACCACTTGAGCCAGAGTGCCACTTCCTGGATTGTTTTTAAAAGATGAAGAAGGGAGGTAGTTGTCATTTCATGCTTCCATACTACCAGAAGAGTTTCGTATGCTAGGTGCCAGTGGTTCACACTTGTAATTATTGCCATTTAGGAGGCTGAGATCTGGAGGATCTTTGTTTGAAGCAAGCCTGGGCAGAAAACCCTTTCAGACTTGATCCCTAAAAAAACTAGCAAAATGCTGAGCTGTCATGTGTGTACCCGTATGCATGTGTATGTGTGTGTGGTGTATGTCTATACCTGATTTTTTTTTTTTTTTTGGTCGGTCATGGGGCTTGAGCTCTGGGCTTGGGCCGCTGTCCCTGTGCTCTTCAGCTCAAGGTGAGCACTCTACTGCTTGAGCCACAGCGCCACTTCCAGTTTTCTAGTGGTTTATTGGAGGTAAGAGTCTCACGGAGTTTCCTGCCCAGGCTGGCTTTGAACCGAGATCCTCAGATCTCAGCCTCCTGAGTAGCTAGGGTTACAGGCATGAGCTACCGGCACCCGGCTATATACCTGATTTTAAAAAAAAATTTTTTTTTTTTTTGATCAGTGGTGGGGCTTGAACTCTGGGCCTGGTAAAAAAAAAAAAATTATACCTGCTGTTGAACAAAGGGTTTTGCTGGGCTTTCTTGCCAAGGTTGGCACTCTACCACAGGAGTCACCCCTCTTAAGCATTTTCTGGCCAATCGGAGATTAGCTTTTTCCTCCCAAGTTGCTTCAAACCTCCATCCTCAGATCTTAACTTCTGAGTAGCTAGGTTTATAGGCACAAGACAGTGATCCTTTTCAGAGCATACGTTGTCTACCAATACATAAATTGTATGACTGTACCATGTTTTATCTGGTTCCCTGGTGATAAGAATTTGGCCTATTCTCTATCTTTTACTATTATAAATGAAGTACAGCTTAAAAAAATCTTCAGCTACAAACAGGTTTTGGCCTTTTTCGTAGTTGCAACTGTAGTTGAAAATATATATTGAGTTAGATTTAGTAATTAAGGTGGATAATCAAGCTGTGCAATACACTTTTAGGTTAGAAACATTTGACTCCAATAAAGTTACTTCTCTTGAGAATTTCAGAAACATGACTACAATCCCTGTCAGTACCATGGAATAATTTTCCTGCTTTAAACTACTGCTTCAAAGAAAACTGTGGTTCAGTAAGTTTAGTGAGTTATCACAAAGCCTGTTGCATTGTATCCTAAATGTGGCTTCTGTAATGAAATTAAAAAGATTCAGAGAAGGATAGCTAAAAGTAAATAATGGGAAACAGCTCTTATACGTTAATAAAAGTTATCAATTTAATCAGTGAGTTAGTCTAATTCTCATTTAATTTTAAGCATGCAAACAAGCTTAAGTAATAAGCAATATTTTTTCATATTAACTTGAATTTAGGTTTGAGTAACTTCTATAACTTTGAATTATGAATACAAACCAAAGTGAATTTGTGCTTGTACATTACATTCAAAAATGTGGAGGAGAATAGAAAGGGGTGATAGATCAAGAAGCACTGGGTCACTTAGACAGACATGCTAATTTGCAGCCCCCTATACAACCTTTTGAAGTTGAGAAAGTAAAAATGAACACACAGGCCTCTGTGGGAAGCTTCCTACAGGAAACCCCCCAAAACTTGACTGAAACGGAGCTAAAGCATTGAGTGTAAGGGATGTGCCTAAATGTATGGGATCAATTAATGGGAGAGTCAGAACTTTTATGTCTTTCCTTGAGAAATTTCATTTGAAGACTGAAAGTAGAGAACAAGTAAGAGATGGTTTTGATTTGTAACACAGATAACCAATTAAGAATCCTATCTAGGGCTGGGAAGGTGGCTCAGTGGTAGAGCACTTGCCTTGCATGCATGAGGCCCTGGGTTCGATTCCTCAGCACCACATAAGCAAAAAAAGGAAAAAGCCGGGAGTGGCACTGTGGCTCAAGTGGTAGAGCGCTAGCCTTGAGCTGAAGAGCTGAGGGACAGCGCCCAGGCCCAGAGTTCAGGCCCCACCACCGGACTCAAAAAAAAAAAAAAAGAATCCTATCTATATTTAAGAATAATGAGATGTGGCTCTAGTGTGCCTCATATCTGATCAAATGGTCAAGTTCAAGGAAACCTTGTGAATAATGAGTCTTGTTTTCCTAAAACATTTCTTAGGCTTGCCTTGGCAAGTTGAAAGTTGAATTATTAAACTGAAAAGTAGGAAGGTTTTTTTGGCGAGATGGT